TTTATTAAAATTCATTAGAAAAATAAAATTATTTCTCAATTGATATATTTATGATTAATGTAGTTATATGTTGTAAGTTAAAAAATTATTATAATATAACACAAATAAGTCTCGCAAAATAAAAAGTGTCATATTAAATATATAATAATATATATATTTTATAAAATGTATTTAAATTTTTAACTATTTTTTTCATTAATTTTAGATTTTAAGAAAGAAATTAGCAAGCACCCGTGTAATACACGGGAGTTGTACTAGTACATCTGTAAAAGAAAACAAACAAGTCGTGAGTTCAACCAAATCTTGACAAATCTATATTCAACCATCATGTTGAAACCAAATCTCGTTTTTTCTCATTCAACAATAATTTATATATAGGTGATGATTTATTTTTATTTTTATTTTTATTTTTATTTTTTGAAAAAAAAACTAGATTATTACTTAATACAATGTTGCGCTACATTCTTACGCTACTTTGTTCCGCTATAGACAATATTGTACTACATGTAGTGCATTACTATTCATTGTGTTACATTGTTTTTATTTTTTATTTTTTTAATTGTTTTTTTATTTGTAAGTGTTATTTTGACAAGGTATGCATCAATGAAATTATTTATTTTATTAAATAATTCTAAAACTTAATTTTATAGTTATATTTAAATTTATTATGTACTAGTGTATTTTATATATAGTAAAATGTAGAGGAGATTATAGTTAAATTTAGACACTCTCCAAAATAATTATGAAATATTAAGGTCGTGCTTGTTTATCAAATTTCTAGAAAAAAAACTAGAAAAAATATATCTCAATTCAAAATTTAATTCAACTTTAATTCAACCACATCATCCTCAATATGATCAATATAATTAAATATTATTATTCAATCATTCTTATAAGTCACATCAACTTTAGTTCACTATACATCAACTCACATAATTTTAATAGCATATTTTTTTCAATCATTTATCTCCGACTTTTACATTAAATATAATAATAGAACTTTGCTCGGTCTTGTTCGAGCTAATACAATGAGGATTTTCTTTCTTCTACCTCAGACGGCCTCCAAACTTACAAGAACTGAACACCAGAAATGGGGTCTTCCGATGAAGTGCCTCTATTGCCTAAGTCAGTATATGGATGAAGGTGATGAACAGTAACAAAGTATATATGAGTGTGTAGAGAATGTAAAAATGTAAATAACCTGTCACACCCCCTGATATAGGGGTGTGGTGTCGTGCTCTCCAAGTATGTCCGAAGAGTTTACCACACTGCCCAAGTTGTCCGTCAGTATGGTGCACAGTGTTGCAGGTGGTTAGACTTTATCAGGTGTGCAGGCGACTCAATCTCGTGGCGACACGTGGTCCAGTCCCTGTATGGCTCTATCCGGAATTGGATGCCCTTTTGTCCTGTCCATGGAACCAGGTCCAGATCACCAGGTAAAACATACGTTAGGTAGAACATCTTTTTCTCTAACTCCCTTATTGCTCCTGAGGTCGAAATAGGTCCCTTAGGTCGAGCTCGGTGTCTATTCGCCTCATGAAGTAAGTCGCTCCCTTCATGTTACCGTCTGGCTGGTCCTTGCCTTCAGGTTGATCTCTGATCATAGTTGAACCTATTGTGTTCATCCGGTCTAGTTATTTGGTTTCATCGGTCTGGTTAACTCGGTGTGGTATTCGTATCATAATTAATTTTGATTATTTTATTTAAATATTATTTTATAACATTCATAAAATATAACTAACAACTAACCATGCTAGCTTTTTCTAAATAAACTCTTGTTAACACAAAAGAATAGCCAAAAAAAATAACAAATTTTTATTATTTTTTAATGACAAGCACATGCTAAAATTTTCTCCCATCCACAATATTGCGTCTGACGTGGACATAAATTAATATATTAATATATCTACTAGGAAATTAGCATAGTGCATGAGGACTCGTTTACTTGAAGTGATTAGATAAGATGGTTTAGACTATGCTTGGTAGGAAGAGTTTTTTTAAATAAGTTCGAGCTTATTTCATAAGGTTTTTTTATGTAACTTTTAAATAAGTTTATTAAAATTTTTATTTCAGCTAAATTATCACCTAATTTTACCAAACACTTGTATAATATAAACTAGTTTTCAAATATATAAATTATAAGCTATAAGCTATCTTATCAGATAGTTTTACCATACATAGCCTTAATCTCATTAGTCAACTTTTGTCATGAGTTAATTTTACTAAATTTGTAATTATTTGAACATTCAAGAATATAATGGACATTATACATGTAGTAGTTTTTGGGACAAAAAATGTCATTTTTTTTGTTGGGATAAAAGTATTTCCTCCTTAAAATGTGATAAAATTATTCTTTCAATCATGGGTATAGACGTGTGCCTACCTGCCACGTAAATGACACATAGGATTTAGCATCCCTGATGGTAAACAGACAAAAGCCATCAAAGCTTGCAAACTAAAATCAAAGAGCAAACAAAGATCAATATGACAATAAGACAACACGACGAGAAGGTGGCTCAGTTGATAACACTCGATCAATAGGTCACGTGTTCGAATTATGTCGGGGATTAAGTGGAAAATCACTATTGATCCTCTTTAATTAAAAAAAAAAAAAGACAATAACACAGTCGGGCACGCTCAAAAACCAGTGCCACTCCTTAAATTTTTCAATTTTTCCACTGCTCATAAATCCCTTTCGTGCCATCAGTAAGAAGAGCTTCTGAACGACCCCAGGGCCTTCACCGCCCCTGCCCGGAGAATGTACTGGTGGT